CCCGCCGGGCGCGGCACAGCTTGCCCAGCAGACCCTGCGACACCACCTCGTCGAAGCGCGCCCGGTGCTTCTTGGGGATGAAAATCCTGCGGGGAAAGCCAGCTGAGTCGGGGCGCGCCCCCAGGCCGTGCCCACAGTGCCCCGATCGCTGCAAGCCGCGGCCCAAAGGCGCCTTCTGGTAGGCGCCACCCTCGCCCCCACCCCATCTCCCCCTTGGTGTCCGAACGTGCGCTCCCCGGCCACACAGGGGCCACGGCATCAGGCTCGCTCCACCTCGGACCGTCCTCCGTATTACTCTGGCCTCCGGAGGACCTCAGCGTCCCCAGAGCCATGGTCCCGTTCTCCCCCTGCCTCTATTTCCTCTCCTCTGGCCTCTCCCCTACTCCCCATTTCATGCCCTTGCACCTGCCCGGCAAGCCCCAGCCAGGGGTCCCACCACCCACTTTCTCCCCGCCTCACTCCAGGCATCTCGGCTGGAGAAAACTGAAGGTACAGTCTGGCCTGGTCAGACTTCCCCAGACCTTCACCACACTCCCAGTCCCGCTGCGGCTCCTCTGCTCAGAATGTTCCAGGACCAGGGCCTCCAGTCCTGCCTCTCTTTCCTCCACACTGCGGCCCCTGCCGATGCACCTCAGCTCCCTTGGCTAAACCAGCTTGCCCCTCACCTCCCAGCGCTGGCTTCCTCAGTCTAACCCTCCGTGTTGGAGGGAGTCCCTGGGCTGCAAAGCTGAAGGCACTGTGGTCCCTGCTCTCAGGGAGGCCACCTGGAAGTGGTGAGAAGCAGAGGAGAGACTCTCATGACCCCTGCGGGGGGTCCACACCCCGGAATGTTCTGTTCCTGTTGACCGGGGGTCTCCTCTGAGGGCTGGGTCTGTAGCTCAGCTTTGAGCCATAGTGACCAGCCAGGCTCCGCACATGGGAGGGACTCAGCAACTCAGTAAATAGGGTCGTGGCAGCTAACAGTGGTCCAGCCACACCTCTGAGTGATGGGCAGCAGTTACCACCCAGGTGGACTCCTTGGTCCAGAGCAGAGGATTCTGAGGGTCCGAAACTTTCCAGAGTTAACAACTGGGATGAAGCCCAGCCTCCGGGCCTCAGTACTGTGTCCAGGCTCTACTAAGGGCCCCGAAGTTCTGATTGTTAACAAGGCCACTCTGGCTGCATCCCATAGCTCCCTTCCCTGTTCTTTGTACCAGGAGCCAGCGCCAAGGGCATGGTGGGGAGGGGGAAGATGAGGGGAACGGTGGCCTTGCAGTCAGCTGAAATACAATCCCCCTGAGGTGGGCCAGTGGCCCCCACCCAGTTCCCTAGACCTCTGTGGGTAGGATTAATAAGGCCAGGTGGACAGAACAGCTGCCTGCTGGGAGCGTGGATTGTTGGGAAGGAGTTCATTAGGACCCGACACTCCCCCTCCCCCTGTGAGCTCTGCTTCTGGATGTCCCAGGAGGCCAGAACGAATGACCTGCTAGACTCTGCCAGGAGCATTCTTGCCTGATCCCTGCTAACCACAGCAATTCCCCAAATCTAGAGCCTCAGCCTCATTCCCAGATGGTCACTCAAGGTCTCTGGAGCCTGACACCTCCATCTGCCTGGCCTGTGAATTCCCCACACCCTCCTGCACCCACATGCCTCATGCTCAGACAAAGGAGGGGGCAAGCTGGAAACTGTCCACCTTGCACTTTGGGCTTCCATCCCAGGCTCCAGAAGGCATCGGCCTCGGGTCCAGCCTGGGCAGGAGCCAGATGACCATCCCAGCTCTACCTTTAGCAGCAATTAGAAAGGACTCCGCCTGCCCCCCAGATGGGAACCAGGGTGAACCGCCAAGTGCATAGGTGGGGAAAGGTTGGGTGGCCCTTTCCCTGACTGGTGTCCTTGGGGCTGAGCTGGAGGCTAAGCCTGCCTGGCAGCCAGATGCCCTTCCTGGCTGTGTGTGCCCTGCATGCGGCTCAGGGTGGCCCAAGCACTCCCGCCCTGGGTCTGCTTTGAATCCAATCTCCTGCAGAGCCATACACAGTGGGGTCTCATGGGCCACTCTGGCCCGTCACTGCCCCCTGACCCTGACGGCCTGGCTGTGGCTGCCCTAGGACTCTCAGGTTCCTGCTATGCTCACAGGCTTCTCTGAGGCCACACAATGAGCTGCACTCCGGCTCGTTCTGTTCTCTTTGCCTGGGGGTCAGGTCTAAATCCATCCTCAGGCTCCTCCCAGGGGCTGCCCTAGGGCCCTCTCCCCCCGCATTCCCTGACCTGGCTCTCTGTCCAGTTCCCTGAGCCGGCCCAGTCCTAGGACGGAAAGCGGGCTTTTTAACCCCAGCCCTCAGTTCCCGACCCCCATCCCAACCCCTAGGGCTGTGCGCGGGTTCCAGGCGCCCAACGCGGGGAAACTGCTCCCTTGTACCCTTCCGGTTTATGCCCACCCTTCCCGGGCCCCAGGCAAGCACGGCGGGTGCCCACCAAGGGCAGGTAAGCCCTTCAGTGCCCCAGCCCCACCCCCTCTCGGGCTGGCCCCAGGCGGGCCCGCGGCGCCCAGGGCGCAGGGTTCCCGGCGGCGGGGGCGCGGTGGGGAAACTACCGAAAGTGCCGGGAGAAGCCCTGGTCCTTCCCCATCTGGAGCTGGTGACGGCGCAGCAGGTGCGGACGGCAGAGGGTAGCCGAGCCCGCGAGCGCAGCGAGGGCGCCGGGGCTCCTCGCTCCTCCGCGGGGCCAGCGCGCACCG